ACTACACAGCAGGCCATTGATTCAAGTCCATTCAGAGTCCCAAGATCGGCAGGCTGCTGAACAATGACACGGCTATATGCAGGGTTCAAGCATGCCATAAGCTAGAGACCATTCCCCGAGGCTTCTCCTTATGGGAAACAGACCACATCCCTAAGGCAGTTACTCAGCTGCTCACAATAGATTCCACCATGGAGATGATTAGCAGTCTCATCATGAAGAATACTACATCCAGCTGCCCAGCCACTCAACCAGGCCCAGCCAAGTTCACACACAAACTTAACTACTACAGAACCCTAAAATGGGCATTGATCAGTTTTGGCATCTCGCTAGGCTTAAAATGAACCACCCCAGAAGCAGAAAGGGCATTCTCACTACCATCAAAAAGAGCAGCCAAGAGAGGAGGACATCCTTGGACCTGAGAACCCTGCACCCGAGATGGCAGAGAGGTGGCAGCAGAGAAACAGCAGCAGAGGCAACAGAACTGAGACCAACATGAAATAGAACGACAGGCCTCCTGGCCCATGGAGCAAGAAAGCTGTGTGCCTCTGGGCAGGAGGCTGGCTTACAAAGGAGGGTGCCTCTTTGGGTAACCATAGGCAAAATTTAAAGACCTTTGTAACACTGGCCTGACCAGGGAAGATGCCAAGGACAGAAAGAAGCATGCCTGTGGCATGGCTGAAAAAATCTGCCCTGATAGAATAACTGTATCCTGAGTTTTGTGATCCTGAATTGTAACCCGTCACTTCTCTAATAAACCTCCTAAGTGTGAGGATTACCTGTGAGTTCTGTGGGACCATTGCAATGAACTATCAACCCCAGAAGAAAAGCAGAGATTGCTGTGGGAGGGATTTTGTCAGAATCACCAAAAGGGTTAGAGAGTGATGGCATGTCTGACCTCCACCTCATATGAACCAGCCTTGGCTGATGATGTTCATTTTGATTCTCTGTCCCCCTTGTGAAGGTCAGAAACCACTGCCACCAAAGCCCTTTTTGCAGTGTGATACTAATGAGATTGTTTGATGATTTCTAAATTCTGTTGGATCACCTTTCTTTGGAACGGGCACAAATATAGATCTCTTCCAGACTGTTGGCCAGGTAGCTTTCTCCCAAACTATTTGGCATAAATGAATGAAGGTTTCCAGAATTGCTTCTCTTTGTTGAACAGGTTAAGGGGGTTAAGAATGATGTTTGTAGTGATAATTGGCAGTTAGAGCTAAAATATAGGTGGTTCTGAGTGTAGTACTAAGATGTAGGTATCTGGAAAAGCAGGGTTGGATTTAAGCAACTGGAGAAACTTTGAAAGAGGCCTAGGATAGGCAGGGAAATGGTGGAATAGGTTATTCAGACATTTTATTGTGGTTGACCTGGGATAAAGAGAGACAATGAGTGAGAGTAGGGATGAACCTAAGGAGAAAATAGAGGAATGGAAAGAAATCAGAATGCAGAAAATTTGGGTTGTAGTCTGAGTATTTTCCCTCAACATATGTAAGAGCTTGGTGAGCTCCAGTTTCTTCAAATATTGAATACATACTCAGCTTTCTTGTATGCCCCATAGGTCTAATATGGGATATGGGGATGAAATAAGATAATGGATATACAAATGTTTTGTAAAGTTTTATATAATAATTATGATTATGTGTGGTTCAAGAGCCTCAAGTGTGGATTTCTAACTTCCCATTTTCTCTCTTAAGATTGTCATGGAAACATCATTCCTGATTTAGAATTTCCTTCCCCAGGGCCTTGGAGGACTTTCCATTCCTCTGGGGCAACTGAGCTCCTAGCTTTTCCCCTCACCCAAAAATATATCCTCAAGTGCAAGTGAAAAATGCAAATTATTTCAAGAAGAAACATTTTTTATTTGACAACTAGAAATAAGAATTTTAAAATGCAAGTACCCAAGAGAGTTGACACACTGGCATGAATGTCTTCCAGGAAAACTTATAAATGATGATAGAATATTCTTAGTGGCTAAGGCACTTGACTGCTAACCAGAAGGCTGGCGGTTCAAAGCCACCAGCCACTCCTCGGAAGGAAGATGGGGCAATCTACTTCCGCAGTGATACTGCCTCGGAAACCCAAGGAGGGGTCGCTATGAGTCAGGTCTGACTCAACAGCACATAACAACAACAACAACAATAGAGAAGGAGCCAGAAGACACACTGAAGCTAGAGGGTAGGATGGGGAAACAAGGATAGAATGAGACAGAGATGCTGGGTATAGTAAAGGAAACCACCGAAGCTTCACAATTTTGCTTTGTGCGCCCTCACTCATCTTCTGTCATCACCTGTGCAGGACATGTAGAATAAAATAGCAGAACTTCTTCACATCCTACAATACTGTTTAAATACTGCTCATACTTCTATTCTAACAAGAAATTTCTTTATCTTTAGAAAAAAGGGAAACAAACTGTATTACAAATTTATGTCTTACTTTTGCATCTAAGGTAATGCTTTAGCCTAACCTACTCTGACTGAATGTACACTCCATTAGGTTTCAGTTTCTTGAACAGCAGGCATAGCGTTTAGGAAGAATTACACAATCTCTGGGTCAGAGTCCTAGATCTCTGGGTGGTGCGAGCAGTTTGCAATTGGCTACTACCATAAACGTTGGTGGTTCAAACTCACTCACTAGCACTGTGGAAGAAAGGTCTGGTGATCTGCTTACCTATAGATTACAGCCAAGAAAACCTTATGAAGTATTACTCCTATGTAACACATGGGATTGCCATGAATCAGATTGACTCAACAACAATAAGATATGGCTTAGTCATCCAGGATGTTTCAACGGTATGACTCACCATGATCCGAAACCCCTATGTATATGTGTCACATGGTGTGTAGACAGATAGATACATAGATGCATAGATAGATATATAGATGCATAGATACATAGATAAAGATAAAAATCATGAAGGAGAGGATCTTTAATCACATTTATTGCTTAGGTAATAAGGAGTAGAACTTAAGTCACATAAACATGAAAGTTCGTTCATACCCGTTTTCCCTTTGTACTCCTTTGCAATAGCATGATGTCGTGGGGCAATTTTAGTGACTCAAACTAGAATAGATTTAAATTGTAAAATTATGACATTATGTTCATCTTCCATGACAGTTGATATTTTATATAATCTTGCTAGCAGGATGTTAGGACTTAGTCAATATTACAACAGAAATAATAGTAAAGATGTTTAAGATCTTATGTGGGTTTCGTCTTGGATTCAATCTCACAGTAACCTACTAAATGGTCACTGGTTTTAGTCCTTGTCTACCTCCAGTCATTTGTCAACAAAATAGCCAAGGAAGTGCATATTTTGTAATGTAAATATGATTGTTACTCCTTTGCTGAAATTTTTCCGAAGACTTCTCACCTCTTGCAGAAATAAAAGTTTTTTAAATGACTTATATGGCAGACAATGGTCCTATAACTTTATGTGTATGATCTAAATTCCCAGGTGTATAGTGGAGCTGACAAGGGGCAAGGTTGTAGTCACCGCTTGGTCACAGACAACTACCCAGAGGGATCGAGTAGTTGAACCTGTAGGCTCAGGACCATAGTCCCATAGTCACCAGAGGACATCAAGCTCAATTGGCATAACATACTACACAAAACATTGTTCCACTTCCTACTGTGGCGAGTAGCGACTGGGGTCTTAAAATGTTGCAAGCTACCATCTAGATGCAATGATGGGTCTCTCCTTGTCCAGAGCCAAGAAGAATGAATAAAACCAAAAAGTCATGGAAACAATTAGTCCTAGAGACTGCTACACCATCCAATCTTCAGCCTACACAACTATGAGACTAGAAGAACTAGATGGTGCCTGGCTACTACTGTCAACCACTTGGAAGAGGATCTATGTAGGAGATCCTGGATAGACAGGGAGAACAATATGGAACAAAACTCAGAATCATTTGGGAAAAAAAAGGAGGGGCAGGTTTGCGGCCCGATAGAGCCTGGTGGAACCACTGAGACTATGGCCCCTAGCTGCCCTTCAGGTCTGGAATTGAACACATGTCTGTGGCTTCCAGCCAAACAATAGACAGGCTTATGAGTTGAACATTTACCTGAGGTAGATACACTCTTTGGAGAGAACAAGCATGGGAGAAAGAGGGCTGCTTATGCACAGGGAGACAGCTCAGAGGGCAGGAGTGCATGGAGGGATGGACACAGGGAAGAGGTAACTATTGGGAGGACGTAGGAGGGGAGATGTTGCATTGTGGTAAATTGTGGTCAATGTCATGAGACAAAGTGTATGTGAACTGCTGTATGGAAAGTGTATTTGCTCTATAAATTTTCACCCAAATCACAATAAAATAAATAAATAAAATGACTTATAAGGTCCCAAACAATTTGCCTCTAACTCTCTGACTCTGTCCTCCAATATGCTTTCCCTTTTCCCTCTATTGCCAAACCAACCTCCTTGGTGTTACTTGAACATACATCTGCTTCAGGATTTGTAGAGAACTTGCCTTCTTCTGCATGCAATACTCCTTCCTCAGCTGTCTACACGGCTTGCTCATGTAGTCACTTCCTTCAAGCTTTGGCTTAAAAGTTGTCTTTTTAATCTAGCCTTCCCTGGTTGCCCTAGTTAAAATGTCAGCCTTTTCTCTTAAGCTTTTACCCTTTTTCCCTTTTCTTCATAACACTTATCTCTCTCTGACACGCTGTGTATTTTACTTTTATTGCTTCTCTTCCCCAAACTAGAATGTAAACTCCATGTGGGTAGTGGCTTTTGAACATTTTGGGTATAGCGTCTCTCTAGGGCACTTGACTGCTAACCAGAAGGCTAGCAGTTCACACCCACCAACACTCCTCGGAAGGAAGGTTGGGCAATCTACTTCCGTAGTGAATACCGCCTCGGAAGCCCAAGGAGGGGTCACTTTGACTTGGGTCCAACTTGACGGCACATAACAACAACAATAAACATCTAGTGCCTAGAAGAGTACCTGGAGCACTGTAGGAACTCAACACTATTTATTCAATGAAAAAAAATCAATATTACTTTATCTAATGTTAAAACATTTACTACTGATATAAACCTGAAACTTTCAACTATCAAGAGCCAAAGGAATTAGAAAGTTATTCTGTTACTAAATCCTTTAGGTCTGTAGTTATTAGGCATTAAAATATGATTCTTTACTCGTTTTTTTAAAATATTACACCGTGGTAAGAAATGCCTCAAGTACACCATTAATAACTCACCTAGGATAACTGCTCTTCTACCTTCCACACTGATTCCTCCAGTAATCAAAGCTGAAACAGTGAGAAATAGCACAAATATAATGCCCTTATATCTACTGGAGTCACCCATGTTGAAAATATAGTCTATATATTTGAGTCTAATATGATGTAACTCTTCCTGGTTATTTAAGGAGTAAATCAATGAGGGGCCACACTGAGAAAATGTATTTTTTAAAGTGTGCCTTAGCAGCTGAAAGTCAAGTCTTTCTTAAGTGATTTTTTTTTTATGTGTGAAGAGTGGTCTGCTTGGTCTCACATAGATTACTTTACGTTCATTCCCTCCTCAAAACTTTCTTCAATGCAGCCTTCATCTCCTTGTTTCTTAAGCTGTAAATTAGAGGGTTTAAGAAGGGAGTGACCATGGTATAGAACAAAGTCATGATCTTCTGAATTTCAGCCAGGTTGTCAGATGTGGGGCTCACGTACATTGCCAAGAGGGAGCCAAAGAATAAACACACCGCTGTCAGATGTGAGGCACAGGTGGAAAAGGCCTTTCGTCTCCCAGCTGTGGAAGGGACTTTGAACATCAGTAAAAGGATATAGGAGCCAAGGATGTACAGAAGAGTGAGGATGATAATGAGGGAGCTCAGAATATAGAAAACTATCTCAGTGATAGGAGCTGGGGCACAGGACAGAGCCATCAGTGGGTCCATGTCACACATAAAGTGATCAATTATGTTGGGCCCACAGAAAGACAGCTGGGAGAGTTACACTGTGGAGACTGAGTAACTAAGGAACCCGAACACCCAGCAAAGAAACATCAAGGTGTAGCAAAGTTGTAGGGTCATAATGGTTGGGTAGTGTAATGGGTGGCAGATGGCGAGGTACCGATCATATGCCATGATGCAGAGGAAATAGGCTTCCGTTGTACCAAGGGAAGTAAAAAAATAGAACTGGAGGAAACAGCCAACAAAGGAGATGGTTTTTGTCTCTGAGAGGCAATTGACCAGCATTCTGGGTACTGTGGAGGTAATGTACAAGATCTCAAGGAAAGCAAAGTTTCCCAGGAGAATATACATCGGGGTGTGGAGTCGTTGGTCCCATCTCACAGCACAGACAATGGTACCATTTCCCATCATGGTAAATATATAGACCACAAAGAACAGTGAGAAGAAGACAAGTTGCATCTCCTGGCTACCTGGAAAGCCTAGGAGGACAAACTCAGTCACAGTGCTTGTCACTGAATTGTTCATGAATCCCAGGGCTTCAGAGAAGACAGAGAACACCATGACACAAGCTGTTTTGTTCCCTGAGAAACCTATGCAGGACACATATGTTGGTAATTTGGCTTTTAGTTTGAAATAATCCACCCATTGATTCCTAACTCTTACTTAAAATCCACCAATCAATGATCCTAAGAAGCTCTGGTGGCACAGTGGTTAAGACATTTGGCTACATACCATTAGGTTGACAGTTCAAACCTACCAACAGTTCTGTAGGAGGAAGATGAGGCAGTCTGCTTCCTTAAAGATTTAGTCTTAGAAACCCTATGGGGATCACTATGACTCAAAATCTGCTTGATGGTAGTGGCGCTCTTAATGACCCTAGTGATTCTAAATTTTAATAAAATTGGGTTCATGGGAATAAGATCTTTATATTTTACAGATTTTCTTTATCAATGACTTAAATAAAAAAAAAAAAAATCCTCTCTTCCCTTTGAAATTTTGAACACTCAGGAACATCATCCTCTCTTACCCCTATGAAAGGCTGCAAAGAGGCTACACATTTGTATTTCTTTTTCAAACCCATCGTTATTTATTTCAATAGACCAACTCTTAGTCAAAATTGCTTTTTAAACCAAGAATTAGGTGTACAAAGACTACATTTTTTGTTTCAAAATTATGCTTAAACTTTTATTAATTAGTCCACAGGTATTATTTATTTTTCTTTTCCTTTTTTTTTTTTTGACATCTCTCACTCAATTGAAAGCACTTGACAGACTTCTCAGATAACCTAGAGCTCTGACTGTACACTATACACTTGGTTCTCTGAGTTGTTCACAATCAGAATGATTTTTTTTAGTAACATATTTACACTGCCCAGCTAGCTCAGTCGGTAGAGCATGAGACTCTTAATCTCAGGGTCGTGGGTTCGAGCCCCATGTTGGGCGTGCAAGCAATAGTTTTGGGAGCTCTGATAGCATAGTGGCTAAGGCACTTGACTGCTAACCAGAAGCCTGGTGGTTCAAACCCACCAGCCAGTACTCGGAA